CACAACAGTATCAGGGAAGATACTGGGATTATTATCAGAAGGGATAATAATTGACACGTTCCGGCTCAGGCAGAAAATATAGCAACTGCTGAGAAAACGTTACCAGATGGGAAGTAAGAAAACTTACCCTGCAGAGAGTTAAATAGCTAGTACGCTATAAAGCAAAGAAAGTAATCAAAGAATTACACAACTGGATATTGCCATAGGAAGGGATAAATAATATTATAACCAAATTAATAGATTTGTGTGAGACGGAATTCTTGATCTCATAATAGTATGCACACACTTCTACTATAGACCGCGAATTACAGTAAAAATATTAATATTGAAATCTAGTTGTGTAGTCATGACTGAAATCTAGTCGCGACTGAAATCTAGTCGCAGCTCAGTCGACTAGAAAATTTTCTAGTCGCGACTGAATGCAAATCGACTAGTCGAAACTACGACTAGTCGACTGGTAACACTATGCCATCGTTATTATTATTATTACTATTTACTATTATATCCTCTAAGTCGCCACCATTATTACTATTTAATGGTTCACTATTACTAGGGTTTCTAAATCACATTGAATAAGAATTTGTATTACAAATGAAAAACTCTAATATTACTGTTTCTTCTTTGTTATTATCTTTATCTTGCTACGAGAATTGTATTTTTTTTTTTGAGCAAATGTATGTTTTTTTCTTTTGTTAATCTAAGTAATGCAGAAGAACCCATCTCAACCAAGTGTCGATGTCACTGAATTCTATACTAAAATTCTACAGACGTAAAAATAAATATCAAGAAAAAATTTTTTTATCGTCTTAGCCGGATCATATCACTACTATTCATGATAATTTTAGTCATATCGCTAGTTTACTGGATAAATGAAAAAGACTTTTTACCTTGATTATGTTATTTGAAATGATTTTATGTGAAATAAAGTTATTTACTTGTTTTACTGCATCACAGTGACATGCGAAGAGATTGTAAACTGAGTTCATAATGTTTCATATTAATGTCAAATTCACTACCATCAAGTCAAAAATGACAAAAGTAGAAAGTTTGACTAAAGTCAAAAATGATATAAAACTTTGATGAATTAAAATCAATAGTTATCAATTGGCCATTTTAATTAGAAGATGATTATAGAAGTTTATTATGACTTGGAATTAGTTGATTTACATTTATCAATGGTTTAAAATAAAACGCTAGTCAGTTTAAGGTTTCAAAAAAATAAAAAATAAAAAATAATAATTGAGGCATCTTTTGTTTTATAAATAGTGAAAACGTACCAAGTGCGACAAACTCAAACGATGATTTTTAGATACATTATATTAATATGGTAGTATCGGATGGTCTCTTTTATTGAAGACCGTGTGATCAGGTAGTTTTGCAACGACCCTTGGGACATCAATTGTAGAAAAATAAAATATTAGCATTAAATGATGTACATGTCAAGTTTTATATTATTATTATTTTTTACTGAAATCAAAAAATAAATGTATATTTTTGAAAAAAAATTCCTCGGAATTTGTGTATTGGGGAACGATCAAAATTTTTGCAACATTTCAAAAATATCAAATTTTAATGAATTATGAATTACGAGTGACATTTGTAATTTAAAATATTTCTTTTAAAAAATATATGATTTAATGGAATTCCATGGTGACCGTGCCTTCTACACATTTTAAAATTGTTTTATCAGGACTGGCAACTAAATAATAAATAATAAAAATTTGCAAATATTTATTAGAAAAAGTCGGGTTCCAATCAAAATTAATAAATAAACATAAAAATAATATTGAAGATATCTTGCGAGTCGATATTGGTCAGTTGAGCCTATATTGGTCAGGGCTAGCAGGAAGTGCATATTGAACTGTATTAGTATAGTAATATTAACAATATTAATATATACAGTGAAACCTCGCCACAGCGGATTCATGGTTCCAGCCAAAAAAATCCGTTATTGTTATTAATATTAATATTAATAAAATCCGCTATGACAAACATTTTTAATTCATATTAATATTAATATTAATATTAAAATCGTTGTAACACGAAATCCGTTGTGACGAGGTTTGACTGTGCATAGTTCCCTGGGGTGTGCGCGACATTCTAAGAAAATCAAAAACTAATTAATGTCATATATTGATTGGTTATATGTGATTTTTTTTTGTGATCTGCATATCATACAGAATTTCCGAAATTTACATAAAGAACATAGTAAACATATTGTTTTCAAAACACTGCTCCTCCTCCGTTTTCAAAGATATAGACACCAAATTAGTGTACAAGATAGTATATGTAATATAGATTAGAACTATGGAAAGATTTAATGGATTAAAAATACCAATGGTGTAAAAAAACTCATTCGAAATACAGAAAATTTCTTTCTTTATCATTATACTTCTATCTATTGCAACTTCCGAAAAAATTGTATGAAATAAAGATTCTATCTCCATAGCACTGTTCTACAAATATATCCTGATCAAAAACCTCTAATAATTTTATAAATGTAACGATTTTCCAGAAGCCTTAGCGATTGAAAGTTCATAATACTAATAAAACGTAATATTTATTTAAAAAATAATAGCAAAATATTTTGTTACACTGTTTCCTTTTTTAGAGAAAAAAAGGGGGCACCATAAAAAAATCCGCATATATGGATTTACATTATGACATTAATTAGATTTGTTAATCAACTTATATTGAATACCCCAATGACCCGTGCAGGCCTCTAGTCTGCTGATCAATTCATTATATGTTACAAACAAATTCACAAGATACTTTTTGTTATATCTATGTTACACTTTCTAAAAATAAATTGGTTTATTAATAATTGAAAGAAATACTATTAAACTTGCTCTTTCATAATCTGTTAATAATCTCATCAGGAAAATGGGTACAAATATTATGCGTATATAATACACAATTGCAGGGATTAAGCATATAATATGCGTACAAATCGTGTATGTTTTTTATGTATGCAAATTGTACATATATTATATGCTTAATATGCTTAATCCCTGCAATTGCGTATTATATATGCATAATATTTGTACCCATTTTCCTGATGTAGTTGTGGCCATTCACCTACATGCTCTCTTTTTTTAATGATGTCTGAATCTGCATCAATTGCAAGCCATCTTGCCTTTTCTTTAAAAATACCTCCTACTGTTGATTTTCCAATTCTGAATTCTTTGCCAATTTATTCATTTGTTTTGGTTGGATTAGCAAATTTATATTCACATAATTCTTTTTTTTTAATATTAATAAGAGTAACTAATTTTTTCCCCATGTTATTTTCTGATTCATTATTATGGTTTAAATTTTTTGATTTATAAATTATAAATAGTTTTTAAAACAATAATCATTTATATTGATCTTTTTATTAGAATTTCAGAAGTTTGGAAAATCAACCAACAACCTTTTTATACATATTTCCAAACACAATAAAACATAATAAAAATAAATAAATGTATTTCCCACAATACAAACAAAAATATTCCTTCTAAATTATCAGGCAATAAATTATCCAATCAATGGTATAACCTGATGATACAAAAATGAAATAATAAAAATATCGCGACAAGAATTTCTAAATCATCAGATTATAACGTATGATATAAAAATTCTATAAATAAATAAATAAATAAATAAATAAAATCATACGTTACTAAAAGTAGTAATGATGATCTTTTATATAATGAAAATGTCACGTGAGGCTGACTTATTGAGAACAATTTACTTATCCTAAAAAGAGGGGTTGGCTGACTTATAAGTTATCGCAACTTTATATTGGTTGGCTGACTTATCAAGGGATTTTAAATAGGGAAAAAAAGGGCTGAAAAATTTTGGCTGAGTTAGGCCAAAACCGACTTATCGAGTCTACATATATATGCGCTGATTTTGTTTGAACCCCAAAATCCAGTACGGTATGGTCATAACGTTATGAATACCTTATACTAGCAAAAACCCATTGGTGACGGGTTGATGGATAGTAAATTAGTTTTTTTAGCGGAGCAAATAATTTTCTTTAGGGTAATTATCATTCTACCGACCAATTTACACATTAAAAACACTCGTGTTTAACATCGAGACACAATAAGACATAAGGTTTGAAAAAGGCCCAAAAAACCAAATCGGCTGATATGACCTATTTAGTGACAAAAAAAAATTTTATATTCTTCATTGGACATAAAAATTTTTTACCCTTAAAAGTCTTGGACCTTTTTTACCCTTGGTTTGCCTGGGACCTCAACTAGAAGTTTCCGGGTCCTGATCTATCTATTAATAATATATATAAATATAAATAATATTTTTATTTTATCCCCACGCCGTAAAAATAAAATATTATTAATACTAACCAAAATAAATAAAATAAAATATGTCTCAACAAGATACGAAAATTATTTTTAAATCAAACGATAACCACGAAGAATTCTTTGTATATGGAAACCCTGAACTTGTTTGTAAAATTTTTTATTCAAATTTCGCGATTGATATTAATATTAATATTAATATTTTGTTCTGGCAAACGATGGTGATAACTCATCTTTAGGTGACTAAATGGCGTAAAGATAAATCAGTTCCATTGATAGATGTTGTTCAAAGTAATAATAAAGCAACAAATTAATTAAATAATTTAAATGATGTTTTAAAATCAAAAATAAACCAAAGCGAACAATCAATTAAAATTTAATAATAACAATTATTATTATTAGGCTTTGATATTTATGAAACAGTCAATGGTGGTAATGTGGGTATTGCTGGCAGACCTTCGAAACAAAGACTAGAGAATGCTTTTGGTACATCAAATTATACAGAAGTTATCACTCATATACTTCAGCATGGAGTTGTTCAGCATAGTCATAAAGGTCATGCTTCCAAAGATCATCGAAGTAATTATCATCATATTATTAATAATCGTAGTAATTATTTCTTGATATTTTACTTCTCGCAAATATTTATAAATTATTATTATTTTTTTTTTGCTTAGCCATGATTAACGAAACTCGTGGTAAAGGAGCTTCCACAGCTCAAAATGCGTCAGGGATTCATAATTAAGAAAGATGTTTATTTGTGTGGTTAATGACGAATCTTATATTTTTATTTGCGAAAAAATAAAATAAAATATTTATAAATTAATGTTTATTGTTACTGCCTTAACCAAATATTATATATTATATTTGTTGCCACTGGTCATCGCGATGAGTATATAGCAAACATTGACCAGGAAGCTCATAACCAATATATACGTGTAAATACTTTAAAACTATTTATATAAATTTATTATTTGGAAAATTAATCATTTTTATTAATAACCATTCAATGAATTGAATTAATAAATAAATTTAATTGTGTATAACTTCCTTTTCTATTTTAAGGGGGATTTAAAAAATCTAGCAAATCAATAATTCTATATGTATATTCACCACAGTTATTTGATTTAAAGTGGGAAGGAGCTCTATTAGTAATGTTTATCAATTTCTCTATATATATATATACTTTGTTCGCTGTGTGTTAAAAAAAAGTCCTGCCATATATGCTTCAAATTTATCAACATTTAAATTAGAAGGACGTTGGTTTTGCGTATCATTCATTAATACCTAATTCTGGATTGTAATAAGAATGACAGATATAGAAAAGTTATACCATGAGGAAAATAAAAAAAAAAGATAGAAAATGAATTTAGAAAAAAAAAATTTTTATCTAATAAAAAAAATTTATATATTACCTATATAAATAAATGGTTGTATTTACAAATTGCTAGGATTTGGTTGGTCGAATTAACTAGATTATCAACTTTTTTTTTGTTTCCCAAAGCTAAATAGATTTTTCATTAAGCCAATCTAATTTAATCTAATTTAATCTAAGCAATTTGTGAATACATCCAATATAAATATATCAAAAATCATAAATATATATAAATATAAAATAATGATAAATTTTATTTAAATTTCATTTTCATGTTTCATCATGTTTGATAAACCTATTGTACTGCTTGGAATCCCACTATTTCCGAATCCATTAACTGCTGCTAAATCATTTATTCCAATAACATTGTTTTCTAAACTATTGCCTACTAAAAGATTTCCAGCAATCATATTGTTGCCGCTACCTCCTACTCCTACAACACTACCATCCTCGCTACTACTAATACCATCACTATTTGTACTTGGATATCTCACCATATGATAAGCATTTGTAGGATTATATCCTGTATTGCCAATCCCTGTATTTGTAACGGCATCAGCAGTAGTCATAAATCCTGTAGGAAATCCTACATTTTGTAATTGTTGAAATTGTTTTTGTTGAAGTGTTGTTGTTGGAACTGCTCCTGCTGTTGCAAATTGATCACCCATACCAATTATAGACGATGGCATTATTCCTGTTTGTCCATTAACAACATTTCCGCCATTATCGTTATTATTACTGTCGTTATCATTATCATTATCATTAGCAATAGTAGCAGCATTAACAGCAGCAGTATTATTCATCGGTATACTAACTAAGGGCCTTAATATATTATATGCATCACTATCTTGATTCGTTGCTGCTGCAACTGCCATTATAGCAGCATTATAATCTGTCATATTCTGTTGTTGCTGTGCGGATTGATTTTGTTGGAATTGTTGTGCCATAGCTAAATTTGACAATAGAGAATTTTGAAGATGATTTGGAGTTTGTTGAATCAATTGTTGTTGTTGATGTAGTAAAAGTTGCTGTTGTTGTTGTTGCTGCTGCTGTTGTATATGTTGTTTCAATTGGTGTTGTAATTGTAATTGATGCTGTTGCTGTTGCTGTTGTTGTTTATGATATAATTGTTGAAGTTGTTGATTAGATAAAATTGTGCTCATAAGGTTGTTATTATTATTATTACCATTGTTTGGGCTTAATTTATATTGTTGTGATGATGACGACGATGATGAATTTGTATTTGCCATAATATTTGAATTAATAACTTTGTTATTATTATTGCTGATGTTATTGTTTATATTTGTGTTATGATTATTAATTGAATTTATTATAACACTTGAGTTATTTGGATGGAATTTTTTATGATCAGAAAAAATCTGTACAGCTTGTTGAATAAGACTATTAAGTTTTTGTCCGACTAAGCCGCGTGGAATAGGTAAAGGTGTTAAATCTGGTAGATTTACTGATTTTATCACCTAAATAAATATTTAAGAAAAAAAGTGTGATGAGAATGAGCGGACGAACAAAAAATAACTTTATATGATATATAAATTTAAAAGGTTTATTTATTACACCCCCTCCCTGAATTAATTAAATGATTAAAATAAAAATAATGATAAGAATAATTTAAATTACATTTCCGGAAGGATTTCCATTAAGTTCATCGGCTATAGTGGCAAGATATGATAGATTCGATCGAAGACGCGCCTTATAACTATTAAATAATTAATAAGAAAAAATAAATATTAATTTCACTTTAAAAAAAAATTTTTTATAATTTTTGAATATATTAAAAAAAAAATCCTCATACAAAGCCATATCTTGTGCATTCACCCATCCTTGTTTTTGATATTCAATACAGGCTCGGATCAATTCATAATTAACCTCAAGTATCTAAAGATTATTTATTTAAATTTTCAATATATATAAATCCATAATAATTATTTTTAATATTAGAAAAGTAAAGGAAGTACCGCTTGTACACATTTTTGTGTAAATTCGACTATTAACATCATAGTTGTTAAAAATAAATTAGTTATTATTCAAAAATAAAAATTTTAATAAATTACAAAATTAAATCTTACCATATTCTGGTGATTTCTTATCATGTATACTAGAATTATTTATAATATTTTTTTTATTATCAACACCAACAGCAAATTGATTATTCCTTATATTTAAACCAACTGCTGCTGCTGTATTACTATTATGTGTTTGAACATAGTTATTATTATTATTTATTTCGATACCAGGATTAGAAAATCCACTTTTAGAATGTGTTGAACCATTATTTATTTGATTATTATTTGTGTTGTTGTTTTTGTTATTAGTTGATGATGTAGGTGTTGTTGGCACAGATGTTGTTGATATATTTTGTGGTTGGAATTGTTGGTTTTGAATCAACCACGGATACTGTTCCTGATTTTCAAAATTTGGATTCATCTGTTGAACATTATTACTATTACTAGTGTTATTGTTATTATTTTTGGTTGATGTATAGGCTACACCACCATTAGTGGAATGATATTGTGTAAAATCGTTGTTGTTCATTATTATTATCTTTTTTTAAAAAAAAATTTGTATTGTTGATCAAATTATTCAATTCCGAATTCTTTTTATTTACGTAGTACAGATATTTTACAAGATTTAATATGTTCAAACTATATACTTTATCTTAATTACCTACCACATTGTAAATATAATAATACTTTGAAAAAAATCAAATATTAATTATAATGAAAAAAATTACATTATTATCACCTTTACTAAAAACACCAAAAGAAATAGACAACTATGTTTCTCAAAATTTTGGTAGTAATGATACAGCCTCACCTGAATACATAAAGGCTTCGTGGTTTGCTATAGCAAACTTATATTTTACCGCTCATGACTATAATAAAGCGGAAAAATTCTTACTTCAACTATTATATTATCAGCCAAATGATATAAAAGTATATAATATTAATATTGATTATTATTTTTTTAAGAAAAAAACATTTTAATTTGTTATTTTTCAACATCAATTTTAAAAATAGGCAAACGAACTATTGGCTATTGTATATAGAAAACATGATAATTTAGAATCTGCTTTAGAATATTACGAAAGGTGATGGATAATTTAACATAATCATAATGGTAATAATAATAATTAAACACATATATACTGACTGATATAATTTATATATAAACACTAGAGCTTTATCTCAAAAGAATGCTCCAATGAATAATGCATCTGATGGTAATAATAATAATAATAATAATAATAATAATAGGCAATAATCTTATTATTCTTCTTCACTATTATAAAAAAAATAAGTAAAAAATATATTTAAAAATAATTATAATTATTGATATCGTAAAAAATAGTTGCTGAGATTTGTATAGAGTTGGCAAAAAAAACCACTGATGAGAAAAAAATTAAAGGATTCACCTCGAAAGCTTTATATTGGATTGATAGGTTTAATTTTTATAATAGATGTTGTAATGTTAATTGGTTAATTCAATTAATCAAAATGAAAATTTTATAGGACTCATCAGATAACAAAAAAGTATGATCCTCGAGCAATTCAATTATTACGTGATACTTACACTATTATAATTCGCTATGCAGAACTTCAAAATGATAAACGTAGCTGCTTGAAGATACGCGATAAGAGTCAAAAAGGTGCTCTTTAACAAAAGTATTATTATAATTGTGGTTGTTGTTATTATTATTGTTCATATTGATACATTCTAACAGTAATCTATTATTATTAGTGGAACCAATAAAATGGTTGAATGACTCATATTTATCATTGATGTCTTTGCCTGAAACATTTATTGATCCAAAACTTCATATATTATTTAACAGAGCTCTCTTAAAACAACGTGATAATCATCGGTAAATATCTTGAAGTTTAATATTGATATTATTTTTTTTTAAAAAAAAAAAGAAAGAAATCAAATTAAATTGTTTATTTATCTTTCCCAAAAATTTTTATTTTTCAAAATAGAGCTTTTAGACATATTATTCAAAGACGTTACAATTTTATGTATAGTTTAGAATGGAACCTTCATCTAAAAAAAACATATGGTAATAAAACAGGAACAACAGCAACAGCAGCAACATCATCAAATACAACAACAACCACAATGCCTGATACCACTGAATTAATATTATTTGCATATGATAATGTACTTCGATTATCATTGGATGAAATGTAAATAATAACAAAAAATATTATAAATCCTGATTTAAAATAATATTAATAATAATATTATTATTATATATTTATATGACTGATTTAACTATATTTTATATAGTTCATGTTCTTCTTCTTCTTACAATAATAATAACAATCTAGAAAAATTATTGGATGAATATATAGATCAAGTTGAAAAATGGGAAGAAACTTCTTTACTCAATCCTCAAACATTAGGCCAATGGTCTAAATATCGAAAGGTTCTTTTTCTTTTTCTTTTTTTAAAAACTTAATATAAAGTATAATATATTGAAGTTTGTTTATATTTTAAAAGGAATATAAATCAAGAATTTTAAGGCACGATGGTTTTCATAATTATCAATCAGCATCATCTGATTTATCACTATTCAGAAACTACAATAATAATAACAATGACAACAATAATAACAGTAATATTAATGGTTATGAGGGTGATGGTGATGGTAGTGATGATGATGATGATGATGATAATGATAATGATGATAATGATAGCGATGATGATGATGACTACGATGATGAAGGTGATGGTTCCAAATCATTATCATTATCATTATTAGATAAAAATCAAATTTTATTAAATAATGCATATGAAGATTTCAAAAGTTGTCTTTCTTATAAAATTGACAAATTTCCTGATCCATCATCATCAGCATATCCACCTACGACAATAAATCATTTTGTTTACTTAATGTGTCAACGATTAAGTGATGTTTCTCATCGTTTTTTGACACTTTTAATGTGTTTTGATTATAATTGGTTAAACAATGAAAAAAAATACAACCAAAAAATTCTAAGATCTCAAATTATTAGCAATAATGAAGAAGGAAATAGTGACAGTGATGATGATGGTTACGACGATGATGACTATGGCGATGGTGATAATATTAGAAAAAATATTATTTTACCAAATTATAAAATTATAATTAAAGATTTAACTGAAAGTTATGGTAAAGATTTAATTAAAAAAGAAGAGTTGGATTTGTTAAAATGGATGAGTAAATATTCGCATCAATTTGATATGATTGCAATATGTTGTGCACCATATGATTTAAAGCGGTTGGTTAAATTAAAAAAAATTTAAATTTAAATAAATCTTTTTTTTATAATTTATATAATTATAATTTATTTTTTGTAGGTTTTTAATGGGATCAGCTTGGCACTTTGAATCAGGAACATTATTAAACAAATGGCTAAAATATTTATTCCCAAACTTACAAAATCGTCCTCCTAACAACAACTACATAAATGAATTATTATCACTAAACACAAAAAATGAACAAGATATTGATAATATTGAAGAATTGAAAAGTCAAAAACAACAAAAAGATTTAGATGATTTAACTAATTTATTTCTTAATTTAATTATTACTAATACACCAAAACATAAACAATATGAAGATAATCAAGTAGAAGAAGAATTATTAGATAAAAAAAATTATATTAAAGAGTTATTATTATCATCAAATCACCAACAAGAAAAGGAAATGGATTATCAAAAACCTTTATCGCCTTCACCATTATCACCACCATTATCACCGATGTCTTCATCATCATTATCATCATCAATACCTTCATTATCATTATCATCACCACCATCAAAACCCTCATCACCCTTAATAAAAAAAAAGAAGAAAATAATAATGCCAACTTTAATGGATATAGAATTGTTTTTATTAATTTTATTAATTCAACAACAATATCATTGCGTCTATAATGAAAAAGGCGGAGACGGAGCAAATAATTTAGGGGAAGTTTTATATTTGGTTTCACATAGTGGTGGTAGTGGTGGTAACAGTAAAAAGAATAAAAATAGCGGTTGGTGTCCTACAGAAAATCATTATAAATTTTGGAGAACTTTATTATCTTTACATGGTAGAGTAAGTAATCATTTATTTTTATTTATAATAGATTAATAGATTATTCTGAAAAAATTAATATAAATAAACTATAACAATAATAAAAATAGGACGACCCAGATAAACGAGTGTATACAAATGACCTAATGTCTAATGATGATTTTAAAAAATGTCTTGGAGAAATACGTGGTATTATTGATTTTAAGGAATATGATTATAATGGACAACAATTAAAAAACATTTTGAATATACAAAAAGATTTGTTTCAATTAATGGCCAATATCTTTGAGGTATGTATGGTGACATAATGTTAAAAATTTTCTTTTGAATACTGGTTATTTTTGAATGTTAATTAATGACTATTTATAATTTGTAGAAATTGTATGAAAATAAAATTGTTAAAAGTGATTTCGAAGTAAAACATTGCACTGCAATTAGAAATAGTTGGGATTTTTCATTTTCTGAAAAAATTGATCACAAGGACGAGAAGAAGGACAATGACGTTGATAGAGATGATGATAATGATATCAACGATGATAATGACGGCGAAAAAAGCAAAGACAATAACAAAAACGATAAAAATAAAAATAAAAGTATTGAAGATGGCGAAGAAGACTTTTATCATGTTAACAATGATGATGTAAGCAGCAACAATGATAAACAAAAAGAAAAATTTAATATTTCTAGTAATAAATTCAGTAAAAATATTAAAAAAAGATTCTTGATTCTTGATGACACGATTAATAAACCAGGATATAAAATTTATCTCTGAACAAGTAAGTTAATTACTCAATCGAGCATGTAAAACTTATTTATTGTTTATTTTATTTTAGATCTATTTTAGATCTACATGTTTTAAATAAATAAAAACCATTTTTGAAGAAAAAAAAATTTTTTTGGATGAAATAATTCAAAGATGTGCAGAAGCATTATTGTCTTGAAAGATGTAATTACTTGGTCTAAGTCGAATTAAAAATGGGTATTAAATTTTCGAGTATTTTGATACAAGTTGCAGAATTGACACTTCCATCAACTAAAACGAGATGACCTATTCTATATTTGCAAAAACATTCCCGAACCATTATTCCTTTTGATTTTTGGACAGTTGGTTTTTAAACGTATTTTTCGTTGTGTTTTTTCCAAATCCGATTTTTTGAAACACAACCCATATCTTGACCCGTCGCTAAAAATCACACGCCTATCCTCATATTTGATTTTATTGTGTTCTTTTTTACAGCTCTTCCATAATAGCCTTTTGAACGTAAAGCACGCTATACAGTTCTAGTGCTTACTTCTATTGGTTTGACAATGTTGAATTCTTCTTTAACTTCTTCGACAGCTATTTTTCTTTTTTTTTTTTTTTTTTTTTACAATATTTACTATTCCTCTTTTGTCACGTTCATCCAAAATTGTGGGCCTTCCAGTACGCGATTTAGCAGTAAAGGGCGAATTTTTAAAATTTAGTAATATTATCAGAAACAGTATTCAGCTATCCCTCCTATTGTGTGCTTTTCACATTTCCATAATCCATAAACAGCAAAATTTGCAAGTTCTCTCCCTTTTTTCATTGTTAATATTCAATATCTGATTTCAAAATAAGCCAATCTTGTCGTTTTCAGAAACAGGTCTCAAAGTTTTGTTATTAAACTTTACAAATTTGGTATAATCATCTTTTTTTTTTTATTTCGTTCAATTATTATTATTATGTAGAGTATTTTATTGGATATTTTTCAATTTTTTAAACATAATATTAACGGTGTCAAAATGAGGATTATGACAAATTCATGAATAAACAATGTCCTTGCGTTTGATTCGAATAGAGAACGCAATAATCATATCAATAAATTTGTTGAATGAGAAATTTACCCAATTCAAAAATCATACAACACCATAATATCATAATTCAAATCTATTTGACTCTCCAGCTACAAATGCTATATGATATGTTACCATAATAATTTATATAATTGTTGTTCAGAATCTGCATCGAAACCTATAAGAAATTTTTAGATAAAAAAAAGTTTATAATATTAGGTATTATTTTAATAAGATTTCAATCAGCATTTCATCAAGGGCAACTTCTTTTCTATTTTTGATATTTGTTTCATCAGAAACATCAGGTTCAGTTCCTATATATTTTAATTCAAAACTGGATTAACGCTGGTGGCTGTGTATATTTAATATATAGTTCAGTCGGTCAACGCAGATCATTTAATATGATGGATAGTGAAAATCATTGATATTTTTTTCTTTTTTTTTTTCATTTTAAAAAATAAATTTCGATAGTTGAATAATAATTCAATTACAATAACTCAACATCATAATAAAAATATTCAGTATTAAATATTAATTTAATGCAGGATAAATTTCTTATGGTTGAGTTGTAATTTGAAGAAGCGTTTCCTTGGGCTCGCAGCCGGTAAAAATTTCCTTGGAACAGGACATCATCATAAAGGATGATTATCTCGTCTGTGACCGGTAGCATGTTCATATACGATACGCTTTCAAAGAGTCGAGCTGTTTGGTATTGCAGCTCCAATGGGTGGTAAACATCATCTAAGGCTAAATATTGGCAAGAGACCGATAGTGAACAAATACCGTGAGGGAAAGGTGAAAAGAACTTTGAAAAAAGAGTTAAAAAGTACGTGAAATTGTTGAAAGGGAGGCACTTAAGTCAGTCGTGCTGGCATGGAATTCAGCTTTCGCATTACGGCGAGCCTCAAAACTGTCATAGTGTGTTTTGCCCTAATGTGGTGACGCACTTTTGTGTCAGGCTGGTTAACATCAATTTTGATTGCCATAAAAAGGCTGGAGGCCTTCAAAGTTAATTAATTAACGGCATTTAATGAGTGAATGCTGTCCACAGGCTTTGAAATTGCTTATAGAAGAAAGAAGAAGAAAAACGGGAATAAGGAAGACATCCAACATTATAAACTTTATATTTTCATTTGGTGAATTCATATTTTTTATAGATTTAATTTCTTTTGTTTTTTTTTTTATTCCGTTTATTTGTTTTGTTTTTATTTTGTTGACTTGTGGTTTTTTTTTTAAATAATAAATAAATATACCTCTATTTAATAATATGGAGTGTGGACGGCAGTAACTAACCGTCATGATTTTGAGAAAGGGGGTTACAGTTTTCTGCACCAAAATTACACGCGTCTGCATAGTTGGTTTTTCCCATATCAAATATTAATATAGTCGTATTGACGTAAATATATAATTGGGAGATCTTTCTCTATAATAATAATGAACCTTCCATCCCTATATGTAACTTTTCGTTGCAGAGGGAAGTTAATTATAAAAAATGAATTGGAGCAAAAGTGAAGTTTGTTATAGAAATTTTACTTAGTGTTCGTTAGAGTGAACTGTATATATAGATAAAATATAATAATTAAAATATTAATTGTAACTTTGATAATTTTTTCGTTTGTCAAAAAATTTAATTGTGCCAATATTAATTATATACGCGATATCGGAAAATCTTTAACATGGTAATTAATGAAAACACAATTAATACCACCATACCACCACTAATATTATTATCACCTACAACACAAATCATTATTTGATACGAACATAATACTATGAATTAACTTCACATTAGGATTAGGAAACTATTTTCAGAATTAATAGACACTGTGATTTGTTAAGTATTTACAAAATTTATCAAAATTAATGAATTTTTGAAATAAAATTAAGTGTTTTAAATGGTTAAGATGTCTGAAATAATTACAAATATTCGGGTAGGATTGCGGTTAGGAACCCGCCTTGCTGAACTTATTCTGAATGCGTAAATGAACAAGTAGGTGCTATTTGTATGGTTGCAAATTAACTTCAACGTGGCTTGAAATAAATGAACACGATCTTGAGAAACTGCATGTTACCAATGCAATGATAACGAATAGTTAATATACATGTGATACTTGACATCTGACATAAGTGCACAACTTTCAAGACGTTATGCAAGCATGAATAAATTTTTTAATCAAATTTGCCAAATCAGAAGATAACCAAAAAAAAACCTCATACAAAGAATACTTGTGTTCTTTCGTTTGTGGGAAAGACAGCAAGCAGGGAAAGGAGGAGATAAGCACGCTTAATATCTCCTTAGCGTTCCCACTAAATAAACCCTCTCCAAGTCTCATATTTCACGAGACTTACGAAGCAAGGAGCGCGCCCAAGTTTCCGTTCCACAGATCTGGGAAATATAATTTTCTTTTCGTCCGCAGAAGCCAAGTCACCTTTTATTATATGCTTTTTCAACTAATTTTTTCTTCGTTTTTTAATTCTAATTCTTTCTGTTGAATATCGATTTTTTGGGTTCATCAATCAATGTCTGCTCAGTAGTTTGACTTTCTGTTTCTCGTTGTTTTCCAAAGACCTAGTAATTCTAGTTTCTTGTGCCAAGCGAGTATTATTGTAGGAGAAAGTCTTCCAAAACTACTTTGAAGAGGCGAAAGTCACCAAGTTCGTGGCTTTGCAGAGTTTCGTGAACATAAGAATAAAAATTGTAACAATCGTCACGATTTTTGAATTTTATTGATATTATTCATAATCTACTTACCCCACGACTGCATTCCCGGGACATATGCATACGAAGATTACTTTCAGATGCTTTAGAATTGGGTGTGAAAAGGTTTACAGGATATCATCACCGATTGCCAGTTTTTGATTTGCAGTAGGTATCCTTATAAATCGTAATAAGCCAATTTATCGTCTTTGATGGTGGCGGCAAGACACCTCCTCCAAATTCCCCTTTTATTATTAATGAATAAATGAAATAATAGAGTATTAATAATCACCCACGATAACCATTTGTGAAATTATTTATGAAAATAGTTAATTACAATTAACACTTAGCTGTATTCATATACATATAGATAATTAATTTAAATAATAAATTTTTGGTATAACAACTAATTGCATCACACTTATTTTTTACCACAGCAAGGTGATATTAAATAAATACCATGCAGAATTGATACGACTAGTTGATGCAGTGTTGGAACGTGGTAAATGACCACAAAAAAAAAAAAAAAAATTCCAACACTAGTTGAGAAGTTGTTTTGGGGGAAGAGGTACTATGTTTGTAACTAATCGCAGCGAGAGTTAATACACACAGCAATCGATAAATCACGTAAAAACCATTCCTATGAGCACAGAGGCCATAGTTTTCGCGTTTCGAATAACTATAAACTTGCCCCACCACAGTAAAAACGTGAATATTTCATGCCTTAATCCATGCAATAACTCCCAAAATAATCTTTCTGTGCTGATTTTATGAAGGTAGGTATCAGCATAGTTAAACTACGGGGGCCGAGTCCCTAAGAGGTTCGTCTTACAAGCCGCCCATTCAAAGGGCCCCGTATAGTTCCATACACTAATGAGGATTTCAACGCGTAAACAAGTACCCAATCGCGCATTGGGTTTTATCCCTCTCTACACTATTGCATTGCAATAGTGCGTCAATGGTATGGGTGGCTACAAAGGCCATCTTGAATGTTGTAAATTCTCTCTCTTAATAAATTTTTTTTTAAAAATTGCTCTCACAAAAAAAAAAAACCCCCCCAATTATAAACAATAAACAATAAACAATAATAATATTGTTAATATTGATTACAAATAGAAATTACCAATTGGATGGATATTTTACAGGGTCCACAAAATTACCCATTAAAAAAAAAGAATGATCTGAAATCACGTTTCAATGTCACAAAGTTGCCATAATTTGTGAAATCAAACAACTCGATCATTTGATTGGCATTTCAAAGGACTTTATTATTAAGCACAAATCACAACTAAACATTTACTCTCACAATAGTAACAATAATTCAATCAATCAAACCAATAATACCAAATATCAACATCAATAATATTAACTCTAATGTCAATAATAATAATGATATGATATAGAGCCATTACCATCTAGATTTGTTCCTAACAGATCAGGCAAGTGTTTAATTTATATAGATGATTGATGTATTTTTATAAATCACAAGGGTGAACACCATTGATAAAATGAAGTTGTTGTTTCTTAAGATATTATTGTCTGATAATTAATTATATTTGAATTAAGCAAATTTTTCATTTCCTTCTTCCAACAGTTTCCAACAACGACTCAGAGCTTCCATTTTCAGATAGATCTTTATGGTAAACTTTTGTGACATAGATGTATATCATGTAAAGACTATTTATCATTAAATACAGCAGAATACCTTATTTCTAGGATGCTTTTAGTGCTTTACATCTTTAAATTCAAGCTTTACCTTCAAAAAAAAATATAATAGCAGAGATAATATAATTAATAGTAAATGTCTACTAGCAAAAGAAATTTTATTTTGTTCATAAGGTAAGTACATTCTGTTATAATTTCATCACATTTGGTATCAAATGTTCTTTACTAGTTTTCATTCCAAAGAAAGTGGTTGCGAATGATCTGGATCGCAATTTACGTGTCAAGAGTTGTCCTCGTCACTATTTAGGCTAGGATTTCACCAGATTCATGATTCGCGTGTCTTTCTATTCGAATAATGATTGTCCGAATCAAACAGATGATTGATTCGTAATTAATTTGAGTATTTGAATTGCATCAAAGATAAGATTTTACCTGGGTCAAACGGATCAAACGAATAATTTGGATTAAGATTGAGATGTATTATGAAACAAAATATTGTATTACGAATAGAAGCCCTATTTGTAGGTTGAACAACATTTTTTGAAAAAAAAGGATCCGCTTCACTTCATGGTGTGCACCCTTTCACTAATAAATTATTAATATAAATCTTGAAATTGAAAATAAAAATTACAAACAACTTCAACATCGATTCATCATGGTCAAACTCTAGTGATTTAGAATTTTAGCATTCTTTTTTTCAAAATTAAAACCTGTACCTAACCAAACCTGTCTTATACACTATGCAATGTCCGTTCTGCATTGCGTATTAATATCGACCAGTCTATGTGTATTTCAAACTACAAGGTTATTGTTTATTCTTCACCAAATTTCCAACATAGACATTTTGTAATTTTTTATATTGCATATTATTAATATTATTATTATGATTCGTAATCTCTCATGTCCAAATTATTCATATAACCTTCCAGTTGGGTAATTGTAAATAAAATTTATTCACAATTCGATTTTATGATTTATGATTAACACAATCAAGGAATCTTTTGGTGCAGTGCGTTTCTAATACTCCCTGACCATTTTTAGTGTGGTATGGTATTTAATAAAAATAATACAATCATATTTACATATTGTACGTTCTCCTTCTCTCATTGCAAATAACACGAGGATACTCTTCTGGTCAAGCCTTTAGCAGCACAACGATCAGTTTATGGATGGGATAATGCATGATGGAATTCATCAATGGCCAAAGAATCTTTTTTTTTGCCATAGATTTTTCAATTCCCTTTTAGCTTTGGATGTAATTGTTTACATTAATTATCTGTTGATGCTGTTGTCCTTAAGTTCTCTATCTATTACTGCTATCCAATTATGCCAAGAAGTATATTCCATCACATTATCTCTCCCATAAGAAAGTTGATTAATTCTTTTTCCAATTATTCTTTGCTATATATTTTTCAATTATCTTTCGATAATTATGCGAGTCACGAAGCTTATTGAGAACGGATGTTCAGAAATTTGAGAAATCAGAAGAAAATAAAAGAATTGCATTACATTGTTGAACTATGCTTACCCCAATACCGCTACAATAGATGGATGGGAAGTGGATGATGATGATAAGTATGTTTTTTCCTTATAGATTACTTTGCTTATTATAAATATGCTTATCTACTTTTCATATATAGTTGAAATCTATAGACACGGCACCAACGAACATAACATTAAACAGAAACTGCAAACCGCATACACGCTCTTCACAAGTTCTTCTCAGATTTGTATCGGATTTGCAAGACATCCTTTCATGATAAATATGAACACCTTTCTCCAGAATCATGATCATATTTATCATGGTCATTTGGTATTTAATAATGGTTGAGTATTTAGAGCCTAAAGTGACTAAATGAGATTGATTAACATATTCCATTCAATACAAATATGATTTGCATTATAAACCCAATGGAATACTTTTATGTGACTAATAGGTCACAAAAAAGTCAAAAGGTAGTAATAGTCTTGTCAAAATAACTGACAATTAATTAAAAAGGAATAAAATTTATTATATATGAAGAAATAATAAATGTAACAGTTTTACTGAATGAAATGTTGATTTTTTAGAAATAGGTCGTGCTTGTGGTTGATCCAAAAGAAAAACTTGCCGAGTTTCTCTCTAAACAAAAAAAATCTATTTTCTCGATGGTACAATTCGAAGCAATGGATGATGGGGGCAATAAAAAATATGAGCAGATGAGAACCATATCTAACAAAAGAACTTTCCATTGCTGGGATCATTCATATCCTTTTGTCAATAAACATATCTCAATATTCAGAAAATATTAGAAATCATCTAATAAGTAGTTCATGATAATATCAAAAGAATGCCATAGTGGAGAAAAACCAAGATGATAATTCACGTTGGAACACGAGGTCGAGTTTGTTTTTCAAAAGCCAAAGTAACAATATATATGTATTTTCATTATATTATATTTACCTAAATATATAGTATTTTCGAAGTTTAGTAAAAAATTATATATAAAATTGTTATGCTATTTCTTTTATTCGTCGTTCTACTTCTGGTGAAACTTGAGTGTCATCTTCATATCCTTCCAAAGCGTCCAAACTTACTACAGTAGCATCTAATGCTAATCCACTCCACAATAATTTATTGAAATAACTATTCAACTTAAACCAGAAGGTGATTTCTAAATAAAGTAGAAGATGTGAAAATAATACTAGGGTAGTGAAAAGACTGTAGAATATCCAAACGTAATTATTCCGTTTATGTTGTTCATGGTGATCAACTTGATCATTGTATTTATATCTTTGCAAAAATCCTTTCAAAGCATTTTTACTTTTCATTTCAAGGCTATACTTAACTATTCCTAACGAACCAACTAATGATATTATTAAAAAAATGATGATCCATGATAACATCTCAGACGTGACTTTATCATAATTTTTGCCCAGAAAAGCTAAAACTAAGCATGTTTTGAGAGGTATATATATTATATATATGGGAATTATTAAATAATCTATCTGCCTATTATTATTACTAAAATAAAAAATGTAAATTTAATAAGTTGCTTGCTCATTATATACAGCAGCAGCAGATCTTGTCACAATGAATCATAATTAAATTCGCGCTATGACGGATTTAAAATTTTTTGCTTCACATATAAAATCCATTAGCATCCGTTGTGACAAGGTTTGACTGTATTAATATTAGTCTTATAAACTAAAATTGAAAAATCAAAATACCTATTGCTGTTATCTTCCTTGGAATTTTTTTCGAGATTAGTAGCTTCAATTTCCTTATTTTCTTCTAATTGATTAATTTCAATTCCCATATCATTTTCTTTAATTTCCTCATTTTCTTTTAAATTATATATTCCTGCTCTTATTCGGGGTTTAGTTCTAACTTCTTCTTCAACTATTACAATTATTAAGAGCACGAAACTTATAACACTATAGCATAGAAACATTATCGTCCAAGTAGTATTATTCTCAACCTTGCTTTCAAGAACCAAAAAAGAGTAAATTACTATGAATGTTACATATACATTTACAAAAGATCTTACAATAAGCCTCGTAACTAATGCGAAGCGTCTGGCTCCTAAATCTTTCGAGGAAGAAAGATAAATAAATAACGGCAAAAATAATGATAACAACGTATCAAGTAAGTTGTCTCCCCGAAAATCTTCATTATCAATAAACGGTGCTGCTTTCGTGTTGACAATAAATAGATTGACTTCTAAAAGTATCAAGAGTTTTTTCATGATTCAATAATTCAAAGGAAAATTGGTATTCAAATTCTATCGCCGTTTCATTTATAAATGTTTCCGTCATTATCATTATCACCGTCATTATCACCATCATTGACTCTTTTGGAAGTGTATCACAATTCCTCAAATGGTTATTTAAAGAATAAACTTTTGTAATAAAAAATGTCAGCTAATTTTTCCAGAGAGTAATTATTTATAATTTCTTCGGCTTTTAATTCATTTTCTTGATTTATTCTCATATCAAGTGGTACATATTGTTACATGCTTAATCAAGTCTTATAAAAATATTTGTGCAAGAGGAAGTTGCACAGATGATTAATAATTGAAAAAAAATGTGACAAAAACGAGTGTGTGATCACTGCTAAAAATAGAAATTTCGGCCGATCTATAAAACCGAAAATTTTACGTGTTTCGCTCTTTAATAATAATATCCAAAAGGAAGAACTATTTTTAATTCTAATTTGACTCTCAAGTCTATTTATTTATCAACTTCGGTATTAAAAAAATTATAAATAAGAAAGAAATCCTATAAAAATTTAATTAAAAATAAAATCTATTGACTTATTAACTATTAACTATTATTATAACCGTTTACTATTAACTATTAACCATTGACTATTAACCATTGATTATTCAATATCACTATACTATATATTTTATACTACTTAATAAAAATAAAATTTTAATCCTTCAAAACATTTGCTGATTAAATTCTACAATGATGTGTGGAAATAAAAACTCTGGTCCTTGTGCAGTCAAGAATTGTGATAATAATGATAAAAATCCTGAAGATGTTAACTTCAGAACTATAACAGACAATGTGTTTAAAAATATAAGAGAACACCAAGACTATGAAAGCATAAATTATTTAAGATTAAATGAACAACTTTGTGCTAATCACTACATGAAGTATGTAGCATATTATAAACGTAAGCAATTGAATGTCAATGAAAATTCTTCAAATAATATCAAGATTAATGTCACAGAAAATGGAGTTCTTTTATCCAGAGAAGATTTTGGTTTATTAATGCAAAAAATTGAAAATTTGGAAATGAAAATTGAAGAAAAAAATAAAGAAATTGAAAGCATGTTTGATGCAAATAATGTTTTTTTAACAGTCCAGAATAACTTAGAAAAAAGTAATTTGACATTTGCAGATAAAATTGAACTATTAACAAACATACTTCTCAAACAACAACATGAATCAAATGAGACAATGGAATTGGACCCTATAAACTTTTGCAAATTAATTGAAGAAAAAAAACCAAAATTGAAAGGATTTTTTAATGAATTAGAAAAAATAATTCCTGAAAGATGCACACATTCAAATAAGAGTCTGCCAAAAAATCTATTGTTGGCTTTTGTTATCTTTTAGCTGGCATAAGGAATAAATTCGTAAATAATTTTAAATTAGACCTTGGACTTTATTTAGAAGCAAATGGAACTAGTGCTGCTGCACTTGACACCTTATCAAATGCAAATATCTCAGCTTGTTATAAAACAATCCAAACTTACAAAAAGAAAGTTGCTGAAAATCATCAAAAAATAATAGAAGAGTATTTTTTCAACAACACTCAATACATGCATTGTTTTAATATTGATGATTACCATTCAATTCATGAGTGGAGAAGACCTGATTCCACATCATTATCTTCAGCAATACATATGGCAACATGTGTTGTCAAAAAAATCGAAAATATTCCTGTGGTTCCTGCAAATTTTGAAATGTACCTATTTTTAATCCAGATAATATTGAATATTCATTAATTAATTCAAAACTTATTAATGATTATAGAGGAATTTTTGATAAAAGTTATAATAATGTGAAGATACAATGGGTTAAAGATAAAATGATTGATGGTAAAAAATTTGATTGTATTGGGCTTTTAACAATCCATATGTATAATGAAAATATTGAAGAAAAGAAAGAAGAAAGATCTATGGAATCAGTGAAAATAATTAACACGAAGCAGCAAAGCCTTCATTCCTTGGAAGATTATTTGTCAGCAATAAAAATGATAGCTAGCATAAAAAGGTTATTAGAATATATAAAAAAAAAATGCAATACCTATAATAGCAGACTATCCAGGACAGCTTTTTATTAGAAAGGCTATTACATTATATTTAAATAATTAATTAAATATAAATGATATTGATTGGATACAAAATTTTGTTCCAATGTTAGGTCCATTTCATGTTTCCTTGAACTCAAGAGAATGTGTTGTTCTTATATATTATGATTTCTTCAAGAAATTATTTTGTGATGTATTTGAAAAGAAAAAATTTGCAAAAAAGCCCAAACCATGGCGAATTAATCTTCTTCTCCAATTAGCTCATGATGCATGGTTAGGAATTTCTGAGGATATATTAAAAAATTTTCAAAAAACTAAAGATGTTGAATATAGGATGATGATTGATCTACTAGATAATATTATACCAGCAACCTTAGATATACACTCCCTGGACAAAAGTTTCGGTCACCACAAAACAATTAATTACACAAAAATTTACATAATAAAACACAAATAAATTTCATCAATTGTGATTAAAGTTCTCAAGAATGTGTATGCAAGATTTCAAATTTTTGTAATGTTCGACCAAAAATAATTTTTTGGAAATGATCTCAAATTTTGATTTTATTTGCAAGTATATATTTATACCACTTCTCAAAAAAAAAAAAAAACCGCACATAATAACTACACCCGAAATTTTACTTATTTGTATGCAAGTCAACACTTTGTTGGCCGTCCATTATTAGATATAACAGCTTCTATTCTTCTCGGCATACTTTCTATCAAATTCATATAAATATTTCTAGGAATTTGATTTCATTC